ATACTTTGGTCATGTTGTAGGGAGAGACCAGTCCTTGGAGAGGGACATCATGTTTGGGAGGGTGGAGGGCAGGCGCAGGAGGGGAAGGCCCTCTAGGAGATGGATTGATTTGGTGACTGGGGTAATCGGGATGAGAGTGTCGAAGACAATGAGATTGGCACAGGACAGAACAGAATTTAGGGCTGTTTTACATAGGGTCGCAAGTGTCTCAAAGGCACATAACAACAACAACTATGGAACTAGACTGACAAGAGTAGTATTAATAACACATTCACAAAAGCACAGTTACAGCAGCAGATCTGGGCTTCCTTGGCTTTGAAAGAGAACTCCTTCACAAGGTATGAACTTTCCAGTTTGTCCCTTTACTTCTTCATGATGCTCTATGGAATTTTTGTTGTTGTTGCTGTTGCTGTTTAAAAAAAAACATTGTATACTGTCAAATCGGATTTGAATGGTACAGGAGGAAATTATCCCTCCTTCTCCGGCAGAGTATCTGGTGAATTTGAACCACACACCTCTGGGATTGCAATGCAGCTTCTTGCCACTAGGCCACCAAAGCTCACCTGTTGTTGATCATTTTATATCCTTGTTTTAGTTTGAGACATTATCCTGACATTTCCTTAATAAACATTCTTGGAGAGCCAAACAACAGTAAAGTTTTTTAAGGCTACTATCCATGAGACAGGCAGCATAATTACCATACTATTCTTTAATGTCTTTTTTAGAGACAAGCTGCCATTCGTTATTTTTACTTATGAAAAAGAAAATTATGGCTTTAAAAAAAACAACAACAAAAGCCAATCCCAGGTTCTAAAAGGAGGACCTCACTACCAGCAAGAGCCAGGTACACAGCAGGACTTTTGGATCCAGAGTCTCTGTGCTGAGAACCTCCTCAGCCCAGAAGAGGTCAGAAACCTGCAGACTGGCAGAGCACAGGACAGGCCACAGGACAGAGCAACAGCGCTGAACAATTCCAGAAGCCACGCACCTTTACCAGGAGGCTTGCTGGTCGAGGGTGGGACCTCTGAGTACTTGGCGGGGTTAAAGAGCTTTGTTAACACCTGTCTGAACAAGGGAGATGCCTTCTGCTCTGCCAAGCATGACAGTCAGGAGAAAGTCCTGCTGATGTGCTTCTAAAAGTCACAGCCCCTGAAAACCCTGAGGACACAACTCACAGGCAGCTGTGAGGCAGAACTGACTCCACGGCATCAGGTTTTTAGGACAGAATCACGGTGCATGACTTTAAAAGGGGTAACTTTTAACCAGTCATCTCCCTTCACAATATTTGCCAGCATCACTATTCAGAATCGCCAATCCTTCTTCGTCTTCCTTTATTCACTGACCCACTTTGATTAAGAAAAAGCTAAGGCTTGGACCTGTGGAAGCTCTGGTGGCGTAGTGGTAAAGAACGGTGCCACACTTCCAAAGGCATGCGTAGTTCAAATCCACCAGCTGCTCCATGGGAGAATGGACCATTTGCCCCCACGCAATTGACTGCCTCTGGAAACTCACTCAGCGGGTCAGGTATGAGTAGATTCTGACTCAATGGCGCACAACAACAGCTTGAACCAGGGGCACCTTGGTCTTTAAAGTGACATCCTTAACTCTAGCACATTCGAGAGGTCCTTGACATCAGGTTTTCCCAATGCAACACATCTTTTGATTTCTTGACTGCTGTTCCCACTGGTGTTGACTGGGGCTCCAAGTCAAAACCCTTGAGAACTGCAATCATTTCTCCATCGATCATGGTGCTTGTGAAGAGTACTAAATACACTATGAACTGCCAAAAATAAACAAGTCTGTTTTGGAAGAAGTGCAATCAGGGTGCACCTCAGAGGTAAGAATGACGAAACTCTCTCTCACATACTTTGGGCATGTTGTCAGGCGGGTCCCAATCCTTGGAAAAAGACATCCTGGGAAAGGCAGAGGGTCAGCGAAAGGCAGGAAGACCCTTGATACGATGGAGAGCCACTGTGACGACAACAATCAACAATGCAGAGAGCACGCCGACAGCACAGGAAGGTGTCCCGGTGTGCTGTTCACAGGGTTTCCACGTGTGCTAGTCGACTGACCACCACCACCAACAGCTTCACATCTGCACGTGGAATTCCTACTGCTTTGAAAAAAAAATCTTGCCATATATGTACAATTTTACCATTGCTGCTAATGAGACAGGTTATCTTCTAAGTTCAGAAAGCTCTAAGGGTCCTTATTGGATAGGGGTTAAGGAGCTGCACTGCCAACCCAAAGACATGAGGTTCTAATCCACCGGCTGCTCCTCGGGAGAAAGATGGGCAACCTCCTGCTGCATGACTTACAGCCATTAAAATCCCACTGGAGGGTCCTGAGTCGGTTCCAATTTGAGGGCAACAAGTGAGTTTTAAGTATATGAAATAAAATTGTGTTGTTCAAAACAGTATCTAAATTTTAAAAACCCCAAAAGAGAAAATGGGTAAAAATAACTGTATACACCTGGTAAAAGCCTTGGTCCTCGTATCTGTAAAATGGGAAGAAGACCAACTCATAGGTAATTAATTATGAGGAGGGTATAAAATGCACTCAAGTACTAAGTAAAAGGTTGGCAATTCAAGTCTGTTCACAGGAACCTTGGGAAAAAGGTCTGGTAATCAAAGGCTAAAAAGTCAGTTCTTGAAAACACAAGGCGGGCAGTTCTACCCTAACTCACAAGATCAATCTGCCTGCAACTCGTTTTGTCTGACATGTGAAAAGCTTAGGAAAAAAGCAGCAAAGAACCACCATTACTACTGCTGCAGCCCACAGGTGCTCACTGCCGCTCTGTCAAACTTCAACAAGGCTCCCCAAAGATCAGCACTGAGCGTATACCTGGACTGTCCCTCAACGTTCTCTCTCACTTCACCTGAGGCAGAGCCTGGACACTCACCTCGGGGAGAAGGCTGGGGTCGTTCTGCAGAAGCAGGATCCGAAGCTGGGCCTCGTTGAGGCCAAAAAGCCCGTGGTTTTTCAGGACTTGGATGTTGCCAGGTGTGTGGATGTCATGGGATAAGGTACAGGTAGACCTGGGACAAGCCAAGGTTCACATCAGAAGCCCACGTCTGGGAGGCAGACACACTTACAAGCTTGACCGCTAGTGGACCTGAACCGTGTAGTCATACAATTACACACCTGATCGCTAGTGGACCTGAAGGTACTCTCACCGAAGGAGGCAAGAACAGGGCAGGGGTGGTTCAGACCTGTTGTCCACTGGGTCGTTAAGAATCTTAGTAGACTGGACAGCACCTAACAACAACTAGTGGAAAGGCTTGAGCCCACTAGAAGGTACTTCAGAAGAAAGGGCTGGCAATCTCCCTGTAAAAGGCCCCAGTCCTGAAACCCTATGGGGCAGCTCTACCCTGGCCACAGGGATCCCCAAAATCCAGCACCACCAAGCTGCCCTGGAGCAGCACTTCATTTAATAAATGAGGGAGCTCTGAAGGTATAGTCTGTGGGGGGCTGTGCTAACACAAAGGTCTCCCGTTTCTGGAGGTTCAAATCCACCAGAGGCTCCAGGACAAAGAAGAGCAGTCTCTTCCAAATCCCAGTGGAAGGTCAGCTACGGTAGGGCAACGTTTACATGGGGGTCAAAGTCAAGGGTACCCAGCCCCTCCACCCCGCCCACCACACTGACCCCAAGAGGACGCTGAATAGGGGGCACTGGGCCTCTTTCGCTTCAACAGCTCTCCCATTCTCTACTAAATTATGTAATGAAGGGGTGTGGGGCCTGGAATGTGGAGTCTGGGCACCCCAGCTCAGCTCTAGAAGCCACCAGCCTCCCTTCACCTCCTCCATCCCCCACGCCCCTAGCCTCTGGGTCAGATTGGTTCAATAGGCGGCCACAGGCCGGCTTGGTACTGCCGGGTGGCACAGCCCATCCATGGCTCCACCTTGGGTTCCAACCTGCCCCTAGGAGTAAAGGGATGATGTTGTTGTTATGTGCGCTCACGATTCACAGCGACCCGGACCCGATGTACAAGAGCCCTAAACCCAGTGCCAACCTCACTGTCTCTAGAAGCCTGATTAACCCGCACTGTGGGGGCCCCAAAACTGGGAGTGGCCGTGCAAATTCCAAAGGGGGAGGCCATGCCCCTCCTTCCGCCGCATGTCTGGTGCACACGAGCGGCCTCCCAGACCTGCAGGGTGGAGAGCGGCCTCCCAGACCTGCAGGGTGGAGGGCAAGGTTCCCAGCGCGCCCCATCCCCTACAGCCTCTTCTCTAAGGAGTTCCCACGGCAAACCCTCACCTCGCACCTCCCCCTCTCCAAATGGCCAAGCGCTCACTGACCTCTCCCAGGAGCCCGAGCTCCCGCCCCGCCCCCGCCGCCCCTCCGAGAGGCCCATCCCCCGCACCCCTCTGCAGACGGCCACGTCCCCATCCCCCGCCGGCCTCCGCAGGCCTGGTCCACGCTCACCAGCAGTCCCGGTGCGGGCACTTGCCCAGCATGTGGCGGCGGCAGAGGTGCAGCTGGTCGCAGGCGCGGCACTCGGCACGCTGGTAGCGCGCACAGAGGCGCGCGGAGGACACGGCCACCACCCTGCAGGCCACGTCGTCGCCGCCCGGGGCTGCGGCGGCTCCGGCCAACGCCAGGCTCTCGGGCTCCGCGGCGTCCTGCAGCAGGAAGCGCGCGGGCCCGGCCTCCCGCAGCACCGCGCGCAGCCGCGCCTCCGCCAGCTCCACGTGCGCGCGCAGATCCTGCAGGAGCATGCTGCCGCCGTGCGCGCACAGCACCTTGGTGAGGAAGGCACACAGCGTGGGCTCCGCCATGCCGCCGCCGCCCCGCGCCAGCGCGCACGCTCCTCCTCGCGCAGCGCCCCGGGCCCGCCTGCTAGCAGGGGCGCACGGCCCGCGGTCACAGCCGAGCCTCACCGCTTACGGCCGCCCCTAACCGCGCAGGGCCGCCCCCAACCGAGCAGGACCGCCCCCCACTGAGCAGGACCAGCCCCCCACCGCTTAGGGCCGCCCCCAACCGCGCAGGCCGCCCCCCACCGAGCAGGACCGCCCCCCACCGCTTAGGGCCGCCCCCACCGCTTAGGGCCGCCCCCAACCGCGCAGAGCCGCCTCCACCGCGCAGGGCCGCCCCCACTAAGCAGGACCACCCCCCACAAAGCAAGACCACCCCCCACCGCAAGCAGGACCACCCCACCGAGCAGCACCGCCCCCACCGAGCAGGGCCGCCCACCACCCCAAGTAGGGCCTCCCCACACAGCGTAGCGCTCCCCACCGCCAGCAGGGCCTCCCCACGTCCACGCAGGGCCGGCCCTCTGCAAGCGGGGCATCCCCTGTTAGGGTTAGGGTTCTAGAAGCTTGTATGTATACAGAGATTTAGCCAAAGGAAATGACTCAACTGGCTTGTTAGGTGATGGTTGTTAATGTACCATCGAGGAGCAGGTTTGCAGAGGCAGTAAAACGCACGGGAATTTGCCCATCTCTCAGCAGCTGGTAGACTTGAACATGAGCCTTAGGGCTGACGGCGCGGCTTGTTAGGCGCCCAGATCTCTTCCAGATCCGGAGTCGTCCTCACACCCTCTGCTCTCCCTAAGCTCATTGTCAGTCCATCTCACTGAGGGTCTCCTCCTCCGCTGACCTGCTTTCCCAAGCGTGAAATACTTCATTTCCATCTATCTAGTTTCCGTTCCTAGGGATATCCTAAGAGCCACCGCCACACATCCACAGGAGTCAGGATCCTGGTGACTGCTTGGACTCTGCTGACTCTGTGCATTATGGTACCACACCCACCTTGAGTTAGTTAACTGGTAATCTAGTTGGTAAGGAATTGTCCTGCTAAATCAAGGGCAGATTGTTCCAATCCACCAGCTGCTTCAAAGGAGACAGACAAGCAACCACAGCCCAAGAAATGTACAGCCTCTGAATACCCGGCAGAGGTCAGCTGTGAGTCGGTTTTGGCTCAAGGGCCCCTGAAGACAGCTGGGCTTCCATCACCACACAGTCCAACCTTGTAGTTGTTGCTAGTGACCCTACCAACAGTTCTGCACTCTGTCCTATCCTGCTCCGTCATGATAGCTGGTGGGTTCAAGCCCACAGCTGCGGCGGTCACTGTGCGGTCCATCTCAAAGAGGGTCTTCCTCCTCCACTGAGCCTGTACTGTTCCCAGCATGCTGCCTCTCTCCAAGAACTGGTTCCTTCTGAAAATACACCCACAGTAAATGAGAACAAGTCTCGTCATCCTTGACTCAAAGGAGGGCTCCCTCTGCCCTGAAGACTCCTCTGCTGGTTCCTTTCACATCCATGGGTGTTCGGTACTCTTTCCAACGCCCTGACAAAGGCATTGGTGAGTCTTCTGCCTTCCTTAGTCACAGTCCAGCTTTCAGATGAGGCAGTTCCCACTGCCAAGTCTGGCTAACATAACATAGCAACTACTATAGCGGACCTCAAGGATACTGGTGAAAGAAACATCTGTTCAAGGAGCTACTTACGGCATTTGTCACAGCAGCCCTGAGACCACTGCCCACCCCTGCCCAGCAGTCTGCTGCCGCCGGCCACTGGCCTCAGGTCAGGAACCCATCCTGTGAAAACCGAAAAACCAAACTTATGCTGAGTCACAGAGCCCCTAGAGGTCAGAGAACTGTCCCACTGGGCTCCCATCGCTGCTGTCCCTTCCCCAGGTGGCATGCCATGTCATTTCCCCGTAGAACAGCAGCCGAACAGCTGACCTTCAGTTAGCAGCCAGGAACTTAAACCACAGTACCACCAGTGTCCCACTGGCATGGAAAAGAGGAGACAAAACACCAGCTGTCTCCCCACAAATGGGTGTCTGTGCTTGGTTCTCTTCTTGGGGACACCTATCGCTGAGAAAATAAAGACAGCATTGCAAAGCCACTGTGCATTTTTTTTTTTTTTATTACATTGTCTCACATTAGGCTTGAAGGGCAGCAAGGGGAAACCAAGCATTGAAATACTGGAAGCCGAGTTTCGTTTAGACAACACAATTTGGCCACCCAATCTTGGGTATAACATGGTGAAACAGATTTAGCTCTGCACCCCCCCATTCCCCCCAGCCCGTACATCCTAAGGCGAAAGCAGGCAATTGCAGGTCAGTCAGGTTAATGGTGCGCACGAGCAAGGTGAAGTGCAGAGCATTTACAAAACCCACAGCCTACAATAAAAATATTAACTATAAACCCAAAACCCATGGCCTGGGAGACAAGGAAGGGCCCGACCACCTAACCCAGCAGAGGCTGCATGGGAGTGACACGCATAAAAGGGGGCCTCAAACTGCTGGGCGTGTGGCTAGCTCACAGTTCCTGGCACTGCGTGGATGTGGGTGTGGCAGGGTTGTGCCACACCAGGAAGGGCTGTACTGCACCGTGCAACTTTCCAAAGTGCGCCAGGACCTCTAAGTCAGACCCTCCGCTTGTCCGAGAGAGGCTAACTCATTCAGTCTGTAAAATGGCATGCTCTGCTGGCCCCATCACTTTGGGAACTTGACCCTTTCACTTACCAGGGAAGGTAACAGTCTAGGTGTTAGCCTACAGCCCAACGCTGGTTTTTATTCTGAAGTCACCTATTATCTCGGATTTCTCAACCTCTTGCTCTACTTAGTGATGCTGAAATGCAGGCCTACTCATTACTACTGGGGAAACAGCTAATTACAGCAGTGTGGTCTTAAGACATTTTATCATTGTCACGGTAAGTTCCTTCTCCATTGTAACAGACCTTAGGCGCTCAATTGATCGTTCCCTCCCATCCATGCATCGTGCTTTGTGCAGTTCCCACGTGGATATTCAATCCCTTTGTCTGCTACTGTTCAAGTGTGTCAGCCGACTGGTCTTCGGTCGGCCCATGGGATGTTTCAAAGTAACGGTTTTCTCAAAAGGGCTGATAGGGCCACTGGGATTTGGGGTTGCCGTGATTGGGGTGCAGGTGCTGGAACTGCATATGACAGAGTCTAAAGAGCAGCGCCCCGTACGCAGGGCTGCCCCGCACAGTAAGGGACACTGCACCCCTTCGAGTTCTGAATGCCTCAGGTACGACCCTGTACGCCCTACAGCTCGTCTCAGAGAATAGCACTGTGCTTCGATAGTCTGCAAGTATCCTTGCATATTATATTCTGTATTTCCACTAAGGTTGTCCCGTACTTCTATCATACAAAAATCAGTATTCTTATCTGCAAATAAACTATTATCTCACTAGTCTCATGTCCACCCGTATCCCTACCTTTTTTTGGATTTTTTCTCAGTTGAACACAAAGAGCTGATACCTGCCTGCCTTCTCCATTTTTTTACTCAAAGTAAGTACTTTTTGAGCCTCAGCTGCCTCTTCCACCGTGACCTCAGCTCATTTTCAGTTTAATCCTATGAACACAGGCAGCAGCGTCGACCATTTATAAACTGTATTTCAGGATAAAAGAGGGAATGCTGCAAAACGTGGGTACAAAGAAGAGGCAGGAGTGCGAGCTGCAAATCACTGAGCCAGCAAAGGCCAGGGCCTGGAGGAGGTAAGAGAAGGAACAAGGAGAAAGGGGAGGGGGCGACAGGGCAGGCCAGCGCTGCAACGCTCTCAGCATTGCCTTCAACATTTTAAAAGGTTATAAGGTAAGATTTGTTTAAATGACCATTCTTTCTGCTAAGTGAAGGACAACTTAGATCAGGATAAAAGGACCCGCCCAAGGTAAGCTGGACATGGGGGCTGCTGGACTGATCAAGGAGAGTGGGGATCAGGGGCCTGGGGATTCTGCTTAAGAAGATGGGATTCCACTTCCTTTGTTACAGGACACTGGAGTAGCCTGAGCTGGGCTCAGGGGAGCAGGCAGAGGGCCGCTCTGGGCGGAACGAATCGGAGCGACCTGTTCTATATTTAGTGAAAGCCAACATTGGACTCAAGAGTCAGCTTCCAACTCACCAAGGCCTTCAGTGCATCAGGGCAGAATGTCCTCAGAAGACAGCCATCTCCAGAAGCAGGTGTCCAGGCCTGTCTTCAGAGAAGCTGTGGATGGATTTGAACCTACAACCATTTGGTGAGCAGACAAGTACTTAATGGTTTGTGCTACCAGTTGCCTTCTAACTATCCAACCAGAGCCATGTGAGAGGCATTAGACGGAGTAGGATGTGAGACACTGCGACAATATGAGGAATGCGTGCCCCTGGTGGCGCATGCACCTAAGCCCTTGGCTGCTAACTGGAAGGTCTGTGCGCTTCGAACTCTCCAGCCACTGTGACCAAGTGTGGTCTGCTTCCGTAGACATGACAGTGTTGGATACACCATGGAGTTCTACTCTGTCCTACAGGGTCCCTGCGAGCCACAAGTGACCAGATGCCAACAGGCTTGGTTATGGGATTATAATCTGAAGGTCAAGGTCAGAAAAGGAAAACTCCAAGAGGGACTTTCATTTAAAAAAAAAAAAAGTGGATGAGACACACCTCCCAGAAATCAACCACATTGTTCAAAAAGCTCCACGGATGCTGGGGCAGAAGTCCTTTCGGCACGTGCACCCAGAGCAGTGGGTTATGGTGATAGTTCTCTCACTCCAGCTGTGCATGGGCACTGTGATGGCCAAAAGGAAGCGCTGGCTGGAGCCTTAGAGCCAGGGGCGCCTGGGCAGGTGCCACGCCTGCAGCCCCCAGCACACACCACGCAGTGGGACCTTCGAAACCAAGGAGCTAGGAGGTCGTCTTTGTCTTAGAACTTGAATCAACTGTCTTGCAAGTTAATAGCTTTTGACACGTCTATCTGCTGAAGGAAACTAGGGAAATTAGAAGCAGGAAACTGGGACAACTGGAGCAGAATGTGGAAAAGGGCAAGGGGAAAACTACTCATTCTACAGAAGGAAAGGCTGGTCCAGGCCCTGGGCAGCTTGATTCCATGCTCGGTTATACGTAGGGAAGGAGCCCCCGCCGGGCTGCGGGGAGCTGTGTTCTTCTATTCTGGGCTCACCAGGAAAACAAATGTGGCCTTGTCAGGGTCAGTCCTGCAAAGGGAGGGCCCTACTCCCACGGCCCCCGGGAGCCTCATCGAACGACTACACTAGCTTCTAGATTTATGAGTCAGGCTAGTATGAGTCTGGCTACTGGAGCTTGGTCTCCAGCTGAGAAGAGAGATCAAGGCAATGTGGCAAATCCCACCCCACCCCATCCCACCCCACCCCATAATACAGACACCTCCTGAGAGCCTCACCCCGAAAGCTCTGCTCTCTGCAACCGTATCAAACAGAAGGGAGGCATCTCGGCTCTGTAACACAGAAAGAGCACAGATGGGCAATGAACTCCAGCCAGTCACGTCTTTCCACACCACGTGCGGCTCTGCGTATGGAAGAGTCAGCCTGGGTGGAGTCTGTGCCCCAAATAAACTTCGTGAGAAATAAGTGTGTGCACAGTTCGAGTCATCAAAGGTTTGGCACAGCACTGCTCTGCCGTGTGGCCGTAATCACATTTAAATTATCTTTTCTTTTTAAATCTAGCCTATACCTAAGCAATTTTCTCCCAGCCTTGCAGATGGGATATTACAGAATATCTATTCACAGGGACTCTACAACCTCCCTTTCAAGGCTGCAATGTCTATGTCCTCTCGACAGGCATTTTAAGAATCTCTTAAAATTTCTACAGTTAATTTTCATTCCATTTAACTTCACCACGTAGGACACGAAGCAAAAGGCTGCTGTGGTAACAAGGGGTCCCGGGTTTCAAACAAGCAGCGTTTCCTGTGGGGTCGTTATGGCATCTGCAGCTGGACAGGGGAAACCAGCTCTTAGAGCAGGAAAAGACAGCAAGTCTATCGAGTGGACATGAGCCAGGAGACTGTGGTGGAGAGTTCATGGTGGTGAATCCTTTCAAAGCGAGGGCAGATTTACATAACAGTAAGGGGACACGGAGGAGTGGTCAGATGTGGCTAACTGGGGGACAGAACAGAAAATCTGACACACTGGGTAAACACGGGATTACGGTTTCCTTACTGACCTGTACCCAACACTGAAAGGCGCCTGAAGCTGTTAACTACAGGTCAGCAAGGAGACAGCAAGTCCATGCTCGCCCTGCCTACCCACCCTGCCCACGGACTCCTGTCCAGGAAATAGGCGGGTCAGCCTTGACTAAGTCCACCCGAGGTCCTGAGCTTTGCGATGCATGCGAATCACCTGGAATCTTTGGAAAAAACACTGCTGCTGCCTGTGGGGCGAGACTAAGAGACTATCAGATACTACAGGACGCACTGTGTCTCCCAAAAGAAACGCTGACGTCCTAACTCCACTCTCTTTGGAAACCAGGTTGTTTAAAGATGCTGAAGTGGTCCACACGGATGCAGGTTGGGCTCCAATCGCACATGACTGTTGTCCTCACAGAGCAGAAACACAGCATCAGGGAGAAAAGAAGTCATGTGACGCAGGAGCTCCGAGTCAGGGGACCGCTGGAGCCACCAAAAGCTGAGAGAGGGCGATGTACACAGCCCCCCAGCTTGTGGTCCTATCATGTAGCAGACGTAGGAGACGAATATACCAGGTGATTGAAATATCCAGTCAAGTTTGGGGAGCCACCCCTCAAAGACATACAGGCAGGCGGAGAGATTTATGACTGTAAATGTTGCCGGGAGGATTTGAACCGATGATGCCGTGGTTACCACATCTAACTAATGACACAGGCCTTGCCCATCTCGGTATACTCAATCACATACTTAGGGTAGATCTGATCTTTCTTAAAGATGACGAAAACGGAAGGATTCAAACTGGAATCCACACAGCTGTCGTACAGAAGGTTCACGCCCAAGTATCTAGAAGGGGGTCTCTCGAACATCACGTTTCCTTCGGTGTAATTGCCCACCAGCACTCGGGAAACAAACATGACCACGCTTTTGTCATCACACAAGCAACTTTTGTGGGAAGTGATAGCATCCTTAGTGAAGTAATTTCCTGGAAATAACCAGAGAAAAGCAAAAAGTCAAGAATTATTATAAAAGAACCTGCTTAGTTTCCAAGAATATTTCTACATAAGCAGCTGTCGTTATTGAGGACCTTTGAGTAGGAACCAACCCATAGCTGACCCTCCAATGGGTTTTCAGAGACAGTAAACTGCACAGGACACTGTCCATTCTTCTCCCACAAGCAGCTGGTGGACTCAGACTGCGTGCCTTTGTGACTGCCCCACAGCTTCCTACCGCTCGGCCACCAGAACACCCGATCATTTGATGGGGGTCAGAGCATGGAAACACTGCATGGCTCAAAATCAAAAAAAGGAGAGCGCCAGGAATGGGTCCTGTCTCCATACATTTTCAATCTCTATGCAGGACAGATCATTCAAGAGGCTGGACTTTATGAGGAGGAATATGGCATCAGGATTGGAGGAAGACTCATCAACAACCTGTGTTATACACATGCCAACAACCTTATTGGCTGAAACTGAGGAGGACCTGATGCATTTGCTGCAGAGGGTCATTGACTATAGTTTGCAATATGGATTGAAGCTCAACATCAAGAAAACAAAGATTCGCGCCACTGGGCCAATTAGCAGGATCACAACAGATTAGAGAGAGGAGATTAACAGAAAGGAGATTAAAACTGGTAACAATTTTAACTTACTCTGTTCCACAATCAACACTCTTGGCACCAGAAGTCAGGAAACCAAAAGATAAATTACACTGGGGAAGTCTGCTGTCAGGGACCTCTCCAGAATACTGAAGAGCAATGATGTCAGTCAGTCTAGAGACTAAGGTGCCCCTGATCCTGGCCACGGTCTTCACAATTACTTGCTGTGCATCAAAGAGCTGGACAATGACCAAGGATGACAGAAGAACTGATGCGTTTGAGTTGTGCTGGAGAAGAGCATTGAACATACTGTGAACTGCCAAGAGACCTAACAGGTCTGTCTTGGAGAGGGTGAAAGCAAGCTGCTTCTTGGAGGCAGGGATTTTGAGAATCCATCTCACATACTTTGAGCATGCAGCCAGGAGGGATGAGTCTTTGGAAAACGATATCATGCTTGGAAAGGCCGAGGGACAGCGCAGGAGAGGAAAATTCTGATGAGCTAGATTGACACAGTAACTGGGATAATGAGGGCTGGTGTATCAGAGAGAGTAAGGTTGGTTCAGAATAGGGTAGGGATCAGAGGTGTTGTATGTACATGGAGTCGCTATGGGTCCTAGTCGACCTGATAGCAAAGAACAACGACTAAACCTAAGTCAGCATTTCCTTTTTGCTGGGTGCCAGCAAGTTGGTCTCTGATGCTGAGTGACCCCCATGACAGCGTGGAGCTACCCCACAGGGTTTTCTAGGCTGTGCTGGTTCGGATCATCAGCGTTCCCCCACCACCACCATGAGGTCACTAGTGATTCAAACCACTAACCTCCCGATTAACAGCCTAACACTTACTGACAGGCTCCTTTATATCACCTTCCAGGACACTCACTGCACCAGTTCCCCCACCTGTCTGGAATCTACCTTCAGATACACTCTACATGTGACTATAAAACCTTCCTAAGTTGAGATTAGTGTGAAGTCAAGAAGCAACAGCCATCACATAATCTATAAGGGAATACTTTTCCGCAATCTCAGACCCCCTAAAAATAACCTCCCAAATCACACCGCTGTTGAGCCGGATCCGGCTCACTTTCCTCTACCAGGTTTCTCATTCTGTGAAACTTTATGGAAAGAGAACACCCCCGTCCTCTTGTAGAGACGCTGGTGGATTTGAACCACCAACTTCTAAGAGCCTAGAAATCAAGAAACGGATCACACTGGCAAAGTCTGCTGTCAGGGACCTCTCCAGAATACTGAAGAGCAATGATGTCAGTTTGAAGATGAAGGGACACTTGATTCAAGCCATGGTCTTTTCAATTGCCTGCTATGGCATAGGAAATCTGGACAATGACTAAGGACGACAGAAGAAGCGTCAAGATAGAAGAGTCGTGGTGTTAGGAAAGATGACTGAATATTCTATGGAAAGCCAAGAGAACAAGCATGTCTGTCCTGGAGAAATAGAAACCCGAGTACACCCTGGAGGCAAGGACATGCTCTTTGCCATGTTAGTCAGTGAGACCTTGAAGTCTTAAAGAGAGTCCTTGAAAGAAGGACTTCATGCTTGGAAGAGTGGCCAGCAAGACTCACAGCAAGAGGGACTGACACGGTGGTGGAAGCAATGGGCTCAATCGTGTCAGACATGGTGAGGACAGTGTAGGAAAAGGCAGGAGATAGATCTGCTGTGCACAGGATCGCTATAAGTCACAGTCAGCGGTGAGCTAGGACAACGGATTTCAGGCCCATTCAGATTGGTGCTGGGATTAGCAGGAAAAGATCTGGGAGTGTGAGGACTTTTAAAATCGGTGTTGGGATTAGTAGAAAGAGGCCTGGGAGTGTGGGGAGCAAGACTGATCTCACAGGAATTGGTTTGTTCTGTGGATGCTGGTGGCGAGGACAGTTCCCCTTTGTGAAGTCAGCAGAGGTCAGAAATGGCCATTCCACTTGGCCCTTGTTCTTTTTTGAGGGTGCAGAGAAAAGTAGATCCATAGTTTTAGACCATGTAACCCTTTATGGAAGCAGAGCCCCAGACCTCTCCTCTAAGAGTCCTCTAAGCAGGTCTGGACTATCAATCTTTATTTAAAAGAATTCATTTTAATTAAAGTTGACAGAACTATAATGAAAGTTGACAGTGAACTATCAACCTTTTGGCTTGTAACTATACCACCAAAATTGTAATGTAACCTCACACAGTGTAGTTACTTTTCATAATGTCATGAATTCAACCAGTCAGGTGAAAGCTGAAAGGCAAAAAGGAAGCTTCCCAGGGGCATGTGCTACCTTGAGAGGATGGACAGGCTCTTGCCTCACTCCTTCTGTCACCTGACCAGAAAGTGTGGCTTGCCAGAGCCCCCACAATGGCATGAGACTGCTCCTCAGGTCAGTCACTCTCTCCACTGGTGATTCTGCTTCTCTAGAGATCGCTAAGCCAACTGCTGCCTAACACAAACAGCGCCAGCATCTTACAGCAGAAATGCGCGTGGTGCCCGAGTCAGGGCTCCTAATCAGACTTCTCGAGTCCAACACAAACCTTTTCCATATTTGGTTTCATGAGTTCCTTGGAGGGTCCAGTCAAAGTTATTCTCACATATCTGTGCCACGTTGCGGTGGTGTGTCGCTTGAAACAGAAGTTTTTCATTGGGATTCTCCATACTCAATTTTTTCCTAATACAAGAAAGAAGAGACTTAAGACCAAAACCATCTCTTATATTAACAATAATGCAAGCTTTAAAAATTTGTTTGGTACAATAGTCCAGATTAATAACTTACAGAATTATAAGGCCAAAAGAGAGAAGCTTCCTTTTACACAATGAGAAAATTCACTGAGATCACGGGCAGTAGTGAAAGTACTGTCAACATCAAGCCAAACTCATGTGGGGCAGATGCCGACCCCCAGCAGCCCTGCAGGTCAGAGCGGAACCGCCTCACGGGGTTTCCACAGCTGTGATGTTTACTGAAGCTCACAAGGACATCTTCCGCTGGAGCAGGAGCTGATGGTCTCGAACCACTGACCTTACAGCAAACAGCCAAATGCTCTCACTACTGTACTACCCCCCACCCCCCACCCCCCACCACGGCCCACTGCTGCCGAGTCAGTACTGCCTCCCGGTGACCCTCCATTGGGCTTCCGAGGCCGGAAACATTTACAGGAGGAGACTATGCGGCATTCTGTCCTGGAGCAACTGATGGCTTCGAACCCCCGGCCTTTTGGCCAGCAGGGCGCGCTCTAACACACCATGCCTCCAGAGCTCCTTGTAAACCTCGGCTATAAATGTGAAGCGACAGGTAATTCCTCCTGACTCCGTAAGGGCACCGGCTGGCTCAGCAAACACTAACCTTTCAAAAGCAGCCAAGAGCTCCGCATTCTCGATCTTCTTGATCATTATAATCTTGTAATTTTTCATGGACGCTTTAAAACTATCACTTATCTTAGCATATTCTGGAAGCTGGTCACTGAGTATTGACAACTGAAAAATGAAAAAAGTTGGGTTTGGCAAGCTCTGGTGGCCTAGTGGCAAAAAGCTGCATTGTAATCCCTGAGGTGTATGGTTCAAATCCACCAGATGCTTTGCTGAAGAAGGAGGGACAATCTCCTCCTGTATCAGTCCGATTTGATGGTACACACATTAAAAAAAAATAAAACTGTTTAAAAGAGATATATAACTGGGTGTTTCTGTCATCACAGGAGACGAGAGCGAGGGCTACATGGTGGAGGGGACCTGGGGGAGGGTTTGTAAAACAATGAAAGAATCTTTTACTTTTCCATAATTTTTGACTCATGTACTTATAACTTGTTAGTCAAATTTGTGTCTTCTAGGTTGCAACACCCCCATGATACATCAAGGATATGAACATATACAGCCAAGCACAATCAATAAGAGTGCATCTAAATTCCAAAATCAATCTCCATAATAGTCTATGTGTTTCCTACTGCCAAAGGGGCCCTTTAGAGTAGTGAGAGAAGATCTTCACCCTGAAACCCACAGCGTCCCTTTTCAGCAGGAAGTAGCTAAGAGAATACGCCATCCCCTTTTCCTTATGACTCAGGGTGAAGTCTCTCTCAGGGAGGAGTGATAGCGAATGGCAAAGGACACACTGACAAAGAAGATCAATCAGAACTGGCTTTGACAAGCACTGTGGCATTTGGACAAGAACAAACTGGGAGGAGGGTAGAGAGAATGGTGCAACAATGAATGAATGGAAACCCAAAATCTCTGTAAATGTTTATGAAAATTAATAAAATATAATTATAGGAAATATAATAATAATAATAATAATAATAATAATAATCAATTACTGATAAAAAGAAAAGAAAAGAAAAATATTGGTTTTCTGAGCATGTAGCATGAGGTGGTTCAGGGCCTCACTGCCAGCGGAGGTGGGTGGAGCAGGGGAGGCAGGTTGTTAGCCAGTTCAGGGGCCCCCACACCCCAAGCCAACTCCATGAGATGAGATGTACACTGACGTCCATCTGTCTGGGCTGTGGTCAGGCGAGCAGCACATCTTGGCTGTGGCTGACCTGCGGGTGTGACTGAGAGCAAGTTCCTGGCCTAATAACACTCCTGACCCAGAGCCAGGTCAGAGGCACTGGAACCCCTGAGCTGCCTGGTGAAGCATGATGGGAATGGGGGGGCTGGAGGACAGGATGCACTCACATGGATGGAGCACCGTTTGTGTGACTCCTGTATCCGCTGCCCTGGAGTCAATTCTGACTCACGGTGACACTGGGGGCAGAGTGGAATGGCTCCAAAGGGTTCCCACAGCCGCCATCCTAACTTAGAAGCCGATGGTGGGTTTGACCCACTGACCATGAGATTAGCAGCCAGCTGTCTAAGGACAGGGCTGCCATGACTCCCTAAAATCCAATCACAAACCCACTGAGGCCGAGTCTGACTCTCAGTGTGACCCTCCAGTAGGCTTCTGAGGCTGGAGAGCTTGACGAGAGGACACTGCCCACCTGGCTTCCACTGAACGGCTGGTGGATTTGAAGCACTGACATGCCAATCAAAGAATTCACCCATCAAAGTGCGTAAAAGCCTTACCTTGTACCCACGCAGGGGCTGGCAGTGGTCCCACTGAGGCACGACATTTGAGGTGGGAGAGCTGGACGCCAGCTGGCGTCTGTAAAGAAGAAAGAACAAAGATTCACTCGACTCCTGTGCTGTGCACGCAGCGGACTTTCTGTCCTCACTTTGGGGTTCTGTGAGAAGCTCAACCTGTTTGTGTTTCTGTAGTTGATCTGACTACACTCGATGTTTTCCTCAGTAACTGGGCTTAAAGAACAGGCCGAGAACCTCAGCCCACCTTCACCAAAGCGTGCATTTTAATTTTTCTCTCTCTCTCTCTGTGTGTGTGTGTGTGTGTGTGTGTGTGTGTGTGTGTGTGTACCGTCAAATCAGCTCTGACTGGTACAGGAGGAGATTGCCTCTCCTTTTTCAGCAGAGCTTCTGGTGGATTTGAACCGTGTACCTCTGGGATTATAGTGCAGCGTCTTGCCACTAGGCCACCAGAGCTCCCTTGAAAGTGTGCCTTTTAAATAAAGCATATTTGCTATACACAAAAAAACAACACAGACCTGATAACCACCTGGGATGTGACAATACTGGCCTCATGGTAAGAAGCTGCGCTGCAGTAACAAAGTTCCACGGTCCAAAGCCAGCTGCTCTGCAGGTAAATGATGGGCAGTTTCCTCCCGTGTGATTTACTGCCTCTGAAAACGCACTGGAGGGTCAGCTCCGGGTGTATTTCGACTCGACAGCACACAACAACAACAACTGCTCTGTGGAAGAAGAATGGGCAGTCTCCTCCCAAGTGAACTACAACAACCTGAAGGACTATCCACAGAACACCCTGTTTAATCCATGCAGAGCTGCCCAGGGGACCACGTGTCCAAAGCCCCACCACCCGGAGAGGCCAGCTTGTCACAATACACTGCACAGGTCTCAGTGACACTTTCAGATTAAGACAAGGAATAAAGGTCTGGCGTTCTACTTCTGAAAACCCTCTAGATTACTGCTTCTGCTCTTGATCTGCAGACAGCGGTGAAGTGGGACTCAGAATGGACAGTGCACGCATCCACCGAGAGGGGGTTGGCTGACCCAGCAGTGGCCAATAGGAATGGGAAAGGATTTGAACCAAGTGAGCTGGATCGGTGGCTGAATCAGTGGCTCCGTGGCTCTGATTCTAACTGAGCATGCCCCCCCTACTTTCCATGGTCCCCGAGAGCAGCTCCCATTCCCAGATCCCTGTGTCTCCTCAAGATCTCTTTTCATGAAACATGTAGGGTTTTTATTTGGGCAAAAGTTTACATTGACTTTTAATATAATTGTTGACAGACTTTTCATTTTGGAACGTTAACTACCATTCGTCCTATCAGCTTCTTACTGTGTGCTGTCTCTCCCTTCACCCAACTTACTTATTTACTAATTTTTACTCCCCCTGTGCCTGATCCAGGCCATGGTCTTCACAGTTACTTGCTGTGCATCAGAGAGCTGGACAATGACTAAGGTTGACAGAAGAAGGATTGATGCCTTTGAGCTGTGGTGCCGGAGAAGAGCATTGAATATATCATGGACTGCCAGGAGAATAAACAGGTTTGTCCTAGAGAGGGTGAAACCAGGCTGCTTCCTGGAGGCTAGTCTGACATACTTTGGGTATGTTGCAAGGAGGGCCCAGTCCTTGAAGAGGAACATCATGCTTGGAAGGGTGGAGGGACAGCGCAAGAGATGAAGACCCTGGATGGGATGCACTGACTCAGTGTCTGGGGTAATGGGGGTATGTGTATCAGGAACAATGAAATTGGCTCCAGACAGAGCAGGGGTTTGTACAACAATGAATGAATATTTTTTAAAAAATTTAACTTCTTGGAGGGAAGGAAGGAAAATGTGCACCAAAGAATAAATGAAAATCTAACTTTTCTGTAAACTTTTGTTAAAATCAGAATTAAAATAAAAAATTTTAAAAAGAGGGGGAGGGATTGTATAACAGTAAGAGTTTTACTTTTCAAGGAAAAGAGTGAATTGGGGGAAGGGGTGGGCAGGGAGAAAAGTGCAACAATGAATGATTGGAAAGCTTAAGTCTCTGTAAACTTTCATTAAAATGAATTTTTTAAAAAGGTGGGGGAAAGAAAGCAGGGTCCAGAGCTGTTGTTCATAGGATCGCTATGAGCTGGAGTTGACTCAATGGCACATAACAACAACAACATCTCTGTTCATCCCTATTAAATCTCTATCTGTATTCATTAATACATTAATAGTAATAATTAATATACCTATTAATCTTCTATATATGTGTCAACCTTTCTTTAGCTTTTGACAGGAGTGGTCCTATAACATGCATATACAATGGTTATTTTGTAACCAGCTCATGTGACTCATCATTACTCTGTCCCAGACTCATCCTAGGTGTGTGTGCATTCATTATTATGTACATTAGCAATGGGACTGCTGATCGAATAGCATTTTTCCCCCCAGATTTCTGAAGAAGTGTCAAACTGCTTCCCATGAAGAAGTGGCAGGACCTACAGCTACTAACACAAAAACTCAACCCTGGAGCTGGGGCACAGCTGACCGCCCACTGGACTCCCCATACCGCCTGGGGGTCTGCCCATCTCTCTCTCAGAGCCACTAGTGTACTCTGTCACAAAGACGCCACGTTCAAGTCACAAGGCCAACTGCTTACAGACTCCAGAGAGGAAGATCTGAACAGTGAGGTAACATCTCACCCTCAAACCCCACCCACACGCCCCAACCCCACAGCCACACCAATGCTGCAAACAACAAATGCTGGCCAGGCTGTCAGGAGATCAGAATTCCCAAACACAGCTGGAGAGAATGTGAAACAATGTGATTTCTTAAAAGCAAGAAAGTGAAAAGCGCCATTACCAGAATAAAGAAGTATCGAACTGCAAAGAAAAAAAAAAAAAGAAAGTGTAATTAGAACACCTTGATTTACACACCAATTACTCTTCTGCAGGGAAAAAGAAACCTACCTCCAAATGCTTTGATGAACATGTTCGACTTTACTGACAGTTCCACAAACACACAAAGAAGACAAGCTCAACGCACCCACAACAAAGCTTCACCAAACATCCCTTCCGTCGATTCTCTCTTCCCCAAAGTCCAGGCCGCGGCCTCGCTCAACCTCTCATATCACTTACCACCCCCCACTCTCTTGACTCATCCTTCATGCAAAAGAAGTGGCAACATCAGGCCAGCAGGAGTGTTCCAGAATATTCCAGGAAGAGTCCAGAGGCATGAGGACAGAGCAGGCATGCGGAACAATGGGACACTTACTCTGAGCCACGTATATCACGGACAGGCATGAACTTGGGCCGTCTGACCACGTCCCTCTGAGTGCTGGAAACTGTGTTTGTCTGAATCATCGCTTTAGACAGGAAAAAAAAAAGAATCAGAGCTACAAAATGACTTCCCTTTGGTTTGCACTTGGATGATGAAACTTCGTCTCACATACATACTTTGGGCATGTTTTTAGGAGGGGAGGGGCCATTTGCTTAGAAAGGCGGGGGGTCAGCAAAAGAGAGAAAAACCCAAACAACAAATGCTGGCCAGGGTGTGGGGAGATCAGAATTCCCAGATGCAGCTGGAGAGAAACGCAGCATTTGTTGAAAAAAGATTAACCAGCAGTGGACTGGAGCGACAGCCGCTAGTCTATCAAGGACGGTGAGGTAGTGCAGGGTTCAGATCTGCTGTTCACCGATTTGCTGTGAGTCGTACTCGAATCGACAGCCCCTAACAACCCACTCAGCAGTGCCACAGAAGAAAAGCCTGGCCACCTGCTGCCATAAGGTGACCGCTGTGAAGACCCCAGGATGCATACAGAGCTGCCGTGAGTGGACATCACCCCAACAGCAACCAGGGTGGTTCTGGGCTTTGAAGAACATAGCTCATGTGTACGATGGGATGGCACACAATGAGTGGAGAGAAAAATGCTTCTGAACGGAAAGCAATAAAAAAGAAAAGAAGGAGAGGGGCCCAGTTCGAAGGCTTCGAAGTCCAGGTGCTCCAGGGCCCCTCAGGGGTTCACCTCATCTTCCCACCAAAGCCAGGCAGAGGGCAGTGAGGGCGGGCTGGCAGCCAGGTCACGTGAGTCCCACCTGAGCTCCTCCCACATCACCTGTGCAGCTCCAGGCTCCAGGTGTGCACTCTGTGGCCCCAGGCCAGGAGCCTAATGGCACAGGGCTCAACACACTGAGCTGCTAGGCAAGGGTTTGAACCAGCTGCTCCATGAGAAAAGATGTGGCAGCCCGACAACTTGAAGATTACTGCTGTTGTTAAGTGCTATTAAAGTCAACTACACACTGACCCTACAACAGAAAAACAGATCTGAACCCTGCCCTGTCCCTCACCGGCCATATGACCTCTCTCAGGGTCAAGCCAGTTACAGGCATTTTTTTTAAATTCTTTTTTATTTTTCTTTTTCGTTCTGTACCGTTGCCTCGGATGTGACGGGCACAGGAGGAGATTGCCCCTCTTTTTCCAGCAGAGCACCTGGTGGATTCAAACCGCGCCCCTCTGGATTGCAGTGCAGCTTCTTGCCACTAGGCCACCAGAGCTGGCACTGCGTCAGTCCATCTTGCTGAAGGGCTTCCTCTCTTTCTCTGACCCTCCATCCTTCTCAGCTTGACGGCCCTTCCTGACCACATGCCCAAACGATGTAAGATGAGCTTCAGCATCCTAGAAGCACTCCGGCTGCACCTTTTCCAAGATCCATCTGTCTGTTGTTCTGGCCATCCGTGGAATATCCAGTACTAACGCCGCAGCTCAGGGCATGGGTTCAAATCTGTCCTGCGGGCTCACTCTGAGTTGGCGTGGACTCAGAAACAACAGGTATGATTTTTGTTGTTGTTGTTGAACAATGAGCATGCAGTGCAAAGAAGAACGGCCTCGTGCTGGCCTTTGAATGGCCAGGCTGTGGGACTGAACGTACCAAGCGCTGTCAGAAGAACAAACACATGCATCGTGGAGGACGTGCAGTCAAGAGCTCCTGTGCGCCCCAGAGGCAGAGATGGAGAGACACTGCCACGTCCTGTGGGCAGGCTGTCAGGAGGGGACCGAGGGAAGGGACATCATGATGGCCATCACTTGGTGACTTACAGATGGGGAGCTTGAGGCTGGGCATGTGAGTCACAGAGCTGAGCGCACGGGGGGCTGCTGGCACCCAGCCTCTGCTGGATTGTGCGTCTCCCCAGAGGGCATGAGGGAGGCGACAGACCGCCTGACCTGAGTGCAGAGGCCCCTTCTCCTCCCCCACCTGCGTCCCCCGCTGGATCAGATCCCTCACCATCACCAAACATAAGCACCCACCTTGGAAGCTCAGCTCACAGTCCTCCGAGCCCACCTTGAACTGCACAATCCCGTGCGGTAAGGAGCGAAACATGGACTCAATGTACGTGGAGTTGACGTTCGAGACAGGCTGAGGATCCTTCTAATGGAAAAGGAAGGGGTCGAGGAATAATGACATCAGAGCAGCCTCGTAAGACACCTCTCATTTTGTCCTTGAGATCTTCCATTCCAGCATGGGCTCCGGATAGGGAAATCTCATCTCCTAATTCCCTGACAGAGCCTAGCAGAGGGGTGTCTACACACAAACACTGGTACTTGGTGAGGGGTCTTCTAGAAACATGGCCCCAATGTACAAACTGACTCTCCCTGCTTCTGAGAACCCACACAGCGTGTTCCCGCTTAGCATCTGTGCTGGACATCTACATTGGGCATGGGTACCTCACTTTTATCCCTCATCAGTCCTGTCACTTCTGAGCTTTGCTTTTGGAATAAGTATCCAGTTCTTTTTTTTCTGAGTTTTCTCTTTTGAGTGGATTAATGTAAATCCTCTCCTCTCTCAAGGAGGGTGGGGACTTACTTCTTCTCCATACGGAATCCAATTGCCAAATTCATCTCTCCAATACCAAATCCATTTTGTGAGAAAGCCAGAGGAAACCTCAGTAGTGCATGAAGGGGTGGAGAGCCGTCGCAGAGGGCTGCCATCACAAACCATCTGATGGAAACTGATGACGTAGTTCCTTATAAAAACACTGAGATAGAAAAATCATTGGTTAAAAAAATGCCCCCCACATTGCCCTCAGTTTCCTGTACGCTGGTCTGCCCTAGCAAGATCACGGAATTAAAGTTTTTACTCAGAGCTGGTGGATATCTTCACCACAGTTCCAGATACTTTACAAAAAAAAGGAAAACTGGAATGTAGTGAGCCAAGCAACCAGATACAAATCTAACAGTGTCCTAAAATGTACTGTTTTAAAAAAAAAAAAAAGTACTGTTTCCTCAAAGAGGATCCAAAGGATAAACTGTGGTCTAGGAGTCTCCATAGAGATAGCTTGATGTTAGAAAGTTACAATGTATCTGCTACATATGCAACCCACAGCCAGTCAGTGTTTAAATTTAAGGACTAAGCCAGAGCTTCACACATTCCTTATATCAAAGGAGTAATGAGATCCTTTCCAAGTCTTTACAAGGTCAAAATCTTCTTCATATTCTGAAGACATTATTTTCCCTTCCTACTTTTCATTCTCTCATGAGTGTGAGGTGGAATTTCCCAGGTTTGACAATAAATGGGATGTACACACAGTTATAAGAATCCAATTATTTTCCAAAAAGTCAAGGATTAGAGATAAAAATAGAAAATAATGTCTTTTTTCCCATCTATTTTTTTAAGTATACATATGATTTGTTAAAACTGGTAACAGATTTATTTCTGTTTTGTTATTTAAATGAATCAATAACTATTTCATTTTTCTCCTGGGTTTGTTTGTTTTTGGTTTTGGGGTTTTTTTTCTCCTAGGTTTTAAATGTTAATGCAGTATATGCTGACCACTATAATCCACATAAACAAACGCTCTTTGGGGTCCCCAGTACATTTAAGGTGATGGGGTCCTGGGGTCCAAAAGCATGTGAATTGCAGTTTGAAGAAACAGAGCACACTACTTCTGACCCCTCTACAAGGAATCACAGCACAAGGTCCTGAGATACGTGGACGGAAAACTCGGGAGAAAAGTGAAAGCACCAACAAGCTTACTCATCCGATGGCCGTTGCTCTTACTGTGTCTGTGGGGTCAGAACTGACTCACAGCTGACTGCCCAGCAAGTTCAGAGCCAGTAGCCTGCACGGTAGGAGACTATCCATTCCCCCCACCCCCAGAGCAGAGGGCGGAGTTTTAACTACATGCGGCAGACTGATGGGATTCCTGAAACTATAGCCCCCAGTTTATCTTTTGAACCTAGAACAAAACTCACTTGCCCAGCTCACCTTCTGCCTGAAGTACAGGCCTAAAAGATGATCAACAGCACCCAGTACACACTCACCCCTTATTATAATTAAGCACACAAAATTCTAAAAGGGCAGCACTTACCCATGGATAAGTACAGAAGGCAGGAAGGGGTAGTATACTAGGACTGATGGAAGCAGGAATCATAAGGATGAAGCAGGAAGCGTGCTGTTATACCATGGGAACTGTGATCAAAGTCATAAACCAAAATGTGTATGGATGGTTGACTGGAACGCCAGTTAGCGTGGTAAACTTTCACTCACAATTTTTTAAAAAATAAACTCTCTGGTGGCCTAGGGGCAAGAAGCTGCACTGTAATCCCAGAGGTACGCAGTTCAAATCCACCAGGTGCTCTGCTGGAGAAGGAGGGGCAATCTCCTCCTGTACTAGTCAGATCAGATTTGACAGCACACACACACACACAAAATAAATAAACAGGCTCTCCAGATCCATGGTCCTCAGTCAGGAGACAAGAGACGTGTGGCTACATTTGAAACAATTTCCTATTGCCACCAGTTGGGAGAGGGAAGGGGAACAGTGCTTGGTGGCTTCCAGTTAGGAGTCGTCATTAAGTGCCATCACGTCAACTACAACTTACACCAACACTATGAACAACAGAACTGAAAGTTGCCTGATCCTGGGCCCTCCTCACAACCTCTGTCACACTCAAGGCCACGGTGGCGGTCATCACACCAGTCCATGTTGCTGGGGAGTGGGTTGTTGTTGTTGACTGCCTTCAAGTCGAGCATGACTCATTGTGACCCTATGAACAGAAGACCTGAAGCCCCTCTATAACTATCGACATTTATCAAAGTTGACAGAGTTTCCTGAGGCATGGTATTTAGGAAGTGGATGCCACTCCTGCTTCCAAACCTGTCATAGTATGTTACTGTTGTTATGTGCCACTGAGTTGCCTACAATGCATAATGACCCTATGGACAGCAGCTTTGAACCCTTCCCTATCTTGAGCCTGTCTCATTAACTTGGACACACCAACCCCCACTGCTCCAGTTACTGCCATCAATCCATCTCATGTGGGGTCTTCTTCTCCTATGTTGTCCCTCCACCCTTCCAAGAATGATGTCCTTCTCCAAGGACCGATCTCTCCTGGCTATGTGCCCAAAGTGAGTGAGGAGGAACTTCAAAATTCTAGCCTCCAAGGAGGGGCTTGGTTTCACCTTCTCCAAGACAGACCTATTTGTTTTCTTGGCAGTCTATGTATGTTCAAGACTCTTCTCCACAACTCAAAGGCATCTATTCTTTTTCTACCATCCTTAATCATTGTCCAACTCTCTGAAACATAACAAGTAATTGAGAAGACCATAGCCTGGATGAGGCACACCTTTGTATCTAGACTGACATCGTTGCTCTTCAGCACTCTGGAGAGGTCCATGACAGCAGATTTTCCCAATGCAATTCATCTTTTCATTTCCTGACTGCATGTTTTAAGAGTGCTGATTGTGGATCCAAGCAAGCTGTAATTGTTAACAACCTCAATCTCTTCTCCATCCATCATTGTACTGCCAACTGGCCCGGTGGGGAGAATCTTTGTCTTCTTGATGTTGAGCTTCAATCCATATTGAGGGCTGCAGTCCTTGACCTTTTGCAGTAAGTGTTCAGGTCTTCTTCAGTTTCAGCAAGCAAGGTTGTGTCATCTGCATATCATAGGCTGTTAATGAGTCTTCCTCCGATCTTGATGACACACTCCTCCTCATAAAGCTCTGCTTCCCAAATGATCTGTTCTGCATACAGACTGACAAGGTACGGAGACAGGATACATCCCTGATGCCCTGCTTTCCTGATTTTGAACCATGCAGTGTTTCCTTGCTCTGTTCTGAGGACTGCTTCTTGGTCCACGTACAGGTTTCATATAAGCACGATCAGGTGTTCTGAGATTCCCATTTTCCTCAAGGTTAGCTGCAACTTTTTGTGATCCACGCAGTCAAATGCCTTTGAACAGTCAATGAAACATAGACATTTTTCTAGTACTTTCTGCTTTCTACCAAGATCCATCTGACTTTGACTATAATGTCTCTAGTGCCACAACCTCTTCTAAACTCAGCCTGTATTTCTGGTAGTTCTCTGTCAATGTACTGTTCAAGTCTTTTCTGGATAATCTTCAGCAGGATTTTGCTAGTATGTGGTATTAGTGATATTGTTCAATAATTTCCACACTCTGTCTGGTCACCTTTTTTTTTGGAATGAGAGTAAATATGCATCTCTTCTAGTCAGTTGGCCAAGTAGTTGTCCTTCAGATTTCTTGACACAATGTGGTGAGCACATGCAGGGCAGCATCTGTTTGCTGAGATACATCAATTAGTATTCCATCAGTTCCTGGGGCTTTATTTTTTGCCAAGTCCTTCAGAGGAGCCTGCACTTCCTCCTTCATCACCATTCCTTCTTGATCATATATTGTTTCTTAAAATTCTTCTGTGTCAGCCGATTCTTTTTGGTACACTGACTCTGAATACTCCTTCCATCTGCTTTTAATGCTTCTTGAATCATTCAATATTCTGCCCAAAGCATCCTTAAGCATTGCAACTTGTGGTTTGAATTTATTCTTTATTTCTTTCAGCTTAAGAAATGCTGAGAAAGTTTGGCCCTTTTGATTTTCTGACTCCAGCTCTTTGCACATTTCATTATAATATTTTGTCCTGTCTTCCCAAGGAGTGGAAAGAAACCAGAAATGCTGTTACACAGCCACCCTGCAGGACAGAGAACCGCACGGCAGGTCTCTAACATTGTCATCTCCAGCCAAGCACACTGCCTCCTCGTTCTCCACAAAGCGGATGTGAGGTTCAAACCACTGACTGTGTGGTTAACAGTCTAACCTTTAACAGCTGTGCCACCAGGACCCCTGTGTAAGCACAGCACCCCACAGTTATGACCTGGCACAAGATGCTGATAGTGCTGAAGTGGAGAAACCCTACCTAGATTTATCAGGGGGAAAAATACGCCTGGAAAGAAAGCTGGAGGAAAGGCCTGGCAATCTGCTTCCACAGAAGCTCACAGCAGCTGGAGTGCATGGCTCTATTCTGCACACAGCTCCGTGGTTGCCCTGGGTCACGATCAACGTCTCTGCAGTCGATCAGGTGTGGCTGTACTGGACACTGCCAATGGCTAAGGGCTGGCTGCCACCCAAACATTGGTGGTTTACGCCTGCCCAGAGGAGCCACGGAAGAGAAGCCTAATGACCTTCATGTTGCTGTTTTCTGTAGAGTCAGAACCCACAGCTGACCCTCTGGGGGTTTCTTTTTAGGAAGCCCTGATGGCCTAGTGGTTAAGACACGGCACTGCAATTCCGAAAACCCAAGCCCGAATTATCATCTGCGCCACAGGAACAGGATGGGAAATCGTCAGTCTCCTCCCGTTCGATAAACTGCTTCTGAAAACCTACCGGAGGGTCAGTTACAGGTCAGTTCTGACTCGATGGTACAAAACAACAACAGTGGGTTTTTAGAGGCAAGTAATTGTACAGAAGCAGATTGTCCATCTTCCTCCTGCAAATCGGCTGTTGGATTCAAAGCTCGTACCTTTGAGTTGGTAATGCAACTTCTTACCACTAAGCCACATCCTTCCCCCCAAACCAGACACCAAAAGGAATGCTGGGCAACAAACAGGCTTAGAAACAAGAGCTGGTATCACCTTCTAGGGGCAGAGTGCAGAAACACACAGCCCGAGCCAAAACTCCGTGAAATCCACAGGAGAAAATGAGCCGGAAACCCTTCCCCAGAGAATGTTCGTAGAAAGCCGGGCCACATCTTACAGCTGCACAGGGCCGACCCACATGTGGATGTCCCGTTTCAGCTGGGACAAAACCAGAAATGTAAGGCATTCTCGTGACTACTTGCGGGACAGACGACGTAACCAAGACAAAAGTATAAACAAACTCTTCAAGTCGCTCACACAGCACCTGGTGGAGCAGTGGATAAGGGCTCATCTGGCTGTAAACCAAAAGGTCGATGGTTTGAACCCACCAGCTGCTTCTCAGGACAAAGAGGAGGCAGTCGCTTCCATAAAGGTGAACAGTTTAGGAAATCCTGTGAGCAGTTCTACTCTGTCCTATAGGGACCCTGCCCCCTGAGATGGAATGTCCTCACTGGCAATCGCTTTGGTTGTTGGGCTTTGTTTTCAACATTCATACAGGATTCTGAACTCTCTTGCATTGCTGACAAGTCAGAACCGACTCACAGCAGACCGTCCACTGGTTTCTGAGGCTTTGCCCACGAGATTCCTCAAAGGATCTGGTGGGTTCGAGCCACCAGAGATGCATGGTCTTCGGGTTACCGGTGCAGCTCTGTGTAATTCTGGACTCGCTGTGCGTGGGAACCACCATCGCTGACCCTCCAGCGGGCTTTCAGAGGCAGTAAATGGCCCAGGAGGAGACTGGTCATCTTCCTGTGCAGAAGCGGGTGGATGTGAACCAGGGTCCTCTGGGTGGGCAGCACAACTCCTTACTACTCATCAACCTGAGCTCACAAAGTCTGAATAAGAATGGGTTAAAATTGGGAAATTTAGCCAAAGGTCAATTTGCCCTAAATCATTTGGAGTTTTTACAAGTGCCAGGATGACCTCACAGAATAATAAACCAACTTCCACACCATGCGTGCCAGCAGGAACAAGGATGAAGGTTAACTCAACACACCACCTCACCGCCTGGGTTTCCATTGTGTTCACAGCCCACCCCTTGATACACCAAACCCACGCTGCTTCTACCCCCGGTCTGTAACTCAGCCGAGCACAAGCCCCCCACATGACCTCAGACATAAGCAGGACTCTGTGGGGACCCAGCTCTGTGCCCTCCCTGAGGATGCCAGGTCCTGCCCAGCCGGCCACTCACATGCATTGGTTTGGGTCACAGTAGGCCTGCTCGATCTCTTCCATGGGCTCCAGGTCCGACCAGGTGTCTGCGATGAGGACCTGCCATCGGTACGGCAGGTGGAAATGCATCCGGCTGCACAGTCCTGCAAAGACAAGGAGGCGGTCTGAGGCCCCATCGAGGCTGCCGATCCCACCTGGCCACGCCTGCCGACAACCACATTCCCTTCCGCTCCTCAGAGGGACACCCCCAGTCCAGTACACGCTATTCCTGGGGGGCACCAACAGCTAACACACTTGGCTGCTAGCTGAAAAGGCGAGGTTTGCGTCCCCCTAGAGGGGCCACGGAAGAAAAGTCTGGAGATCTAGCTACATCTGAGGAACAAGGGGCTGCAGACCACACTGCGCGTCGCTCTACCTCGACACAGTGTTGTCGTTTGGTGCTGTCGAGTTGACCATGACTCACTGGGAGCGAGGGACATTTGTCAAGGTGGACTAGGAGACCCCTGTGACCAGCAAAGAACAGCAAGAATCATGCACCACCCCATCCTCAACTAGAATCCCTCAGCCCTCAACAGCAACTAGCTCTTTGGTTTCTTTTACCTTTAAAAACAAAATAGAAAAGCTCAATATTAGCATGTTACCTGGTAAAATCTAGAAGAGCTTCTCTCAGCAGAGATGCATTCACTCAGCAGTGAACTGCGAAGTCTAGGGATCCCAGAAGGCTTTAAACTGCACCCACAAGACCTTTCTAACAGTGCTTCTCAGAGGCCATGGCCCACACCAGACATCGCCCTCAGAGCAGGCACGTGAGGGCACCAAAGCCAATGGGAGCGAGGCTAGAACGCAGGCCTGTGACCCAGTCACCATCATCCTATGACACAACCTACCTTGGTGGCAAAGGTTCTGTTGTACTTATTCAAGAGGCAATACGAGAAGGAAGTATGAGTCTTTAAAGGTTATCAGAGACTCAGGGTATGGACAAAAGTCATAGATTCAAAGCTGCATTAAAACAAGTTGGGCTACACACCCATGTTTATTGCGGCTTAGTTCACAATAGCAGAGAGTTGGAAACAACTCAAGTGCCCATCAACAAACGAATGGACAGAGAAGCTCTGGTATAGTCAAGCAATGGAATACTACGCTGCATTCAAAAGCAAGGAACTCAGGAAATATTATGCAAAATGGGTGACCCTGGAGGACATTATGCTGAATGAAGTATCTCAGTCACCAAAGGACAAATACTGCACATTGCCACTGTTGTAAAATGGGACTGACATTGGGGTGGGGGAAGACTGAGAAAGATGGGATAAATTATGTATACTGCATTGAAACAGATGAGGGAGAGAACTAGTTAGTATTATTGTCATGATAGGAGTCTAGAACAAAGGCTGCACAGTGGAGTGGACTTGGGGGGAGGGACTGTATAACAATGAAAGAATCTTTCTTTTACTTTTCAAAGAGAAGAGTGAAATGGGAGGTGGGGGTGGGCAGGGAGAAAAGTACAACAATGAATGAATGAATGGAAATCCAAAGTCTCTGTAAACTTTCATTAAAATTAATAATTAAAAACAAAAAACAAAAACACAAAAAAAACCCCAAGTTGGGCTAGCGTTGAAGATGTTGCTGTCGTTGTTATATACTGTCAAGTAAACTGTGACTCACAATGACCCTTGGTACAACAGCTCTGAAGCCTGCCCTGTCTTGAGTCAGTTTCATTGACTCATACACCTACCCCTACAGCCCTAGTTACATGTCAATCCATCTCATCTGGGGTCTTCCTCTCCTGCACTGTCCCTCCACCCTTCCAACCATGACGTCTTTCTCCAAAGATCAGTCTCTCCTGCCCACAGGCTCAAAGTATGTGAGATGGAGGTTCAAAATCCTAGCTTCCTAGGAAAAACTTTGTTTCATCCTCTCTAAGACAGACCTATTTGTTTTCTTGGTGGTCCATGGTATGTTCAAGACTCTTCATCTATCATTCTTAGTCATTTATCCAGTTCTCTGACACTTACTTGCTATGCATCAATTATCTGCATAGCAAGTAACTGCAAAGCCCATGGGCTAGATCAGGCACACCTTAGTCTCTAGACTGACACCGTTGCTTCTCAGTATTCTGGAAAGGTCCTTGACAGTAGATTAACCTAATGCAATTCACCTTCTGATTTCCTGACTGCTGGTGCCAAAAGTATTGATTGTGGAGCTGAGCAAGTTGTAACTGTTAACCACCTCAATCTCTTCTCCATCTATCATGTTGCTGCCAATTGGCCCAGTGGTAAGAATCTTTGTCTTTTTGACATTGAGCTTCAATCCATATTGAAGACTACAGTCCTTGACCTTCTGCAGCAAGCAAGGTTATGTCATCTGCCTAACATGGGTTGTTGATGAGTCTTCATCCAATCCTGATGCCACACTCCTCCTCATAGAGCCCAGGCTCCCAAATGATCTGTTCTGTATATAGATGAAAAAAGTATGGAGACAGGACGCATCCCTGATGCATACCCTTCCTGACTTTGACACATGCGGTATTTCCCTGCTTTGTTCTGAGGACTGCTTCCTGGCCAAGGATAGGTTTCACATAAGCACCATCAAGTGTTCTGGAAGTCTCATTCTCCTCAAGGTTAACCACAATTTGTCGTGATCCAAACAGTCAAATGTCTTTGCATAGTCACTGAAACACAGATATCTCTCTGGTACTCTTTGCTTTCTGCCAAGATCCATCTGACATTGGCTGGAAACGATAACGTTTCCAGTGCCACAGCCTCTTCTAAACTCAGCTTGTTTTTCTGGTAGTTCTCTGTTGATGTGTTGTTCCAGTAGTTTCGAGATAATCTTCAGCAGGATTTTGCTTGCGTGTGATATGAGTGTTATTGTATGATAATTTCCACACTCTATTGGGTCACCTTTTTTTGGAATGGGAATAAATACAAATACAGATCTCTTCCAGTCAGTCAGAGTTGAAGATGCAAATGATAAACAAATATGCTCATGACACCATTATTTATAACAGGGAGAAATGAGAAAGACACTGGAAACATAATAACCGAAATATGCAAATAAATAATGGCTTATCCATGTGATAGTTTATAAACCACTAAAATATTTACAAAGAATGTTTGATGACAGAGGAACATTCAGAATACAAGAAAGGGCTCTCTGCTCCTCGTCGACCCAGATTGCCCTCTCTTCTTGTGCAGCCTCAGCCGCATCCCTGAGACACGATGGTGAAGGTCGGAGTAAACGGATTTGGCCGTATTGGGCGCCTGGTCACCAGGGCTGCTTTTCACTCTAACAAAGTGGATACTGTCGCCATTAATGATCCCTTCATTGACCTCAACTACATGGTCTATATGTTCCAATATGATTCCACCCATGGCAAGTTCAACGGCACTGTCAAGGCTGAGAATGGGAAGCTGGTCATCAATGGGAAAGTTATCACTATCTTCCAGGAGCGAGATCCCGCCAACATCAAGTGGGGTGATGCTGGTGCTGAGTATGTTGTGGAGTCCACTGGTGTCTTCACAACCTTGGAGAAGGCTGGGGCTCATTTGAAGGGTGGTGCCAAACGGGTAATCATCTCTGCTCCTTCTGC